GAATTACAGCCATCTCGGCAGAGCCCATGTGACACACACACACACACGGGTTGTTTATAAGCACAGATGTTGGCAACATAATCTGTGGATTTGCATGGGAAATGTCAAGGGAGAGCTCCTTTCTTATTTGCCTTAACGAGTCATGCTAACTTCATTTTTTGCAAGAGCGCCGCACACGTTTGACATTTGTGCTGAGTGAGCTCTAACACGTCCCGTTCACCTCTGTGTTGTGATCAGGCGAGATGTTTACGTGCGATTTTTGGGGGGGATGTCTTGTTTGCGGGATTTGCATTGAAACGTGTCAGATATTTTATTAGGATATTTATTTTATTAAATCATGATTTAAGTCTTTGTTATGTTTGATCGAGGAACGTGATATAAAGGTGGACGCTGACATCCTGGGTGGTGAATTAATGGCGGGAGGTCGTCGGTGCACCTTGGCTGAAGGTGGATAAATAAGCGGTGAGTAAGATGAATGCTCGTAATGTCCTGCGTTTACACTTTCCTGACAGCTGACCTTTATCAACAGTGACTGACCTCAGCCACGGGCAACAATAACAAGAGGAAAAGATGGTGAAGTAACGGTGTCACAACCAACCAGTTCTAAATGTAAAGTTGTGGATTTTGACTTAATTTTCTTTTCCCGACATCAGTTTTTATTGGTTTTAACACATCTTTTATCTGCTCTGTTAGTTTATTTACCAGGGCCGTTATCATTGGAAGCCAGCTAAAGTTATTCCTGAAGTCCGTCTCTGCAAAATCGATTTCTCATGCAGTTCCTGTGGATTTGTGCTTTGGATCCGGATAGCTCCAACTACAGTTTAAGAAAAGCACAGTTATCCCATCTCATCAGTTCCACTTCGGGGCTAAATATCATGGAATCGTACCGTAAATCTGATTTATTTAATTTCATTTATTGGGGTAGCTTTCACTTGCTGTTAAGTCGGTTTTAGGGTAGGCATTAAAAACAATAAGATTAATGTCAAACTAATATGAAACTTAAGGTAAAGAGAACATGATAGACATCAAAATGAATACTATCTACTGAGACCCAACCCTTGCACTACAGAAACAAAGATTTTCTGTTTCTTGGAGCACGTTGCAGGCACTGGTCCTGGTCAAGTGGGGTCAAGGTGTCCAGTAGCGGCTAGTAGCCACCACTTCTACAGCTGTGACTGCAAATATGTCCATACTAAAATTCAATGTGAGCATCAACAGTGTGATTTATTCTATTGCTTCATCTATGGAAGAAATGCACCACATTCTGGCTAAACAAGATGCTGCTACCGGCCGCTCTAACATGTAAATGCACCATAAAAAAAACAGAGTATTCACAAGACTGTTGCTGTGGGGCTTAAAGCTGTCAGGGAGGTGGGTGTTGACGGGAGGACTCAGGTGCGGAGATGA